TAAAACAAGGGAGACCGGAATGGCCATTCCCGGCTTATTAGCCATCAGCGATCACTTATACCCAACCTAGGATTCCATATGCCACTCTGGTCTCCCTTGTCTTCATCGGTACTTCATTATCACAAAAGAAGAGGAGGCGTTCATCGGGAGAGATGCCACCTGGGAACCGCATTTTCACTACTATTGACTTTATTATCTGCTTATGCCCCTAGCAGACTATGGAACTGCCTGATAGGACGCTAGACTGAACCCCAATACACAACGAGATGGGTGCTTCCCGTAACATGATTGGTGAGCGCCAATTTATTACACTTACTTGATCCTGACCAGAGTGAGGCGAAAGGAAGGGTTTGCACCAAGTTCTCGTGTTCTTAAATCTTTGGAGATCTCAGCCTCCACAAAACGAATAAAATAAATGACTATGTTGTGCTTTCTGAATACGAGTATCAAGGTTCATTTTGACATTCGGGGTTATTTATAAAAGTTTTGTGCGGAAAATGATCGCAATTTCATGTACACCGAAAATAAATGGAATATGGTCAATACGGATAATTATCCTTTAAAAACCTTCTGCGGACAGTCAAAAGCCTGTTAGAATTTTCTCAGGGTTACGTTCCTTGATAAACGATCCTGTAAACACATCTCAGTGATATAAACTTAAAGTCACTCGAAAAAAGTCTGATCATATTTTCATTAATTTCTGAATGTGTACTATTTTTAGCAGCCCGGACTACTAAGGAGGCAAGTACCTATGGTAGGTGACGCACTTCATGAAATATGGGTAAATTGGCGACAACCGCTTATCAATTGGGAACCGGCAAAATACATCGATTGAGGCACTTATTGATAATGGACGGCCTCAATTAGATGGAAACGGCAAGGAATTATTGGGGGCAACACTGACCCTGGTTAGAAATGACACTTTTCCTCGGAAAGGCAGAAATGCCGAAGGCCTTTTGATTCGTAATAAATCAACGAACTTAATTTGTTGAAATGTATTGTGGATGTTCGTTCAAACAACTGAATAATAAAGCAGTAAAGCACAACTAAAGCAAAATATGTTTAGCATTTTCCTTTGTTAGTCTTCGAGGTAAAATAGTTGCAAAAATTGGCATAACACAAAATATGGCCAGTTGACTACCTATTGCTGGATTTTTATGCTTAAATACCGTGTAGATGTGAGAATGGATTGAAGATTCTACTGAGCCTTGCGCGCCCTACAACGTAGGAGGATCCATTGACCTCGATAAGATCCCACCCACAATATTTTGTGGCCTTCGTTAGAACTTCGGATAAAACAATCAACAACATTCACTGCTTATACAGGCCGCATTCATATCCAGTCTACGAGCCTTGACATCATCTATTTCACAGAAAATGTGCGTTGTCGTTCACCACTTAGGCCGTTCAGCATGGAAAGTTCTCCTACTTCCTACCGAAAAGGTCGAGATTAGCCTGCGTTTTTTCAACGACCATTTCTTTCTTTGTAAGAAGGCGAAAGGAAGTTTATGGCTGAGAAATGGAAACGACGCTATGGGTTATTAAAAGACAACGGAATCGCCACTCAAGAGCCAACGGCAGAAACCAAAGATTTTCATAATAAGTGCTCGTAAGTCGTTTACCTCTTTTTGTTGCCTAAAGGAGACCTAATAAGTTGATCCACACAATCTGCGCTTACTATCGACAGGAAGAACATTCTGCAAGATTTCCACAGTCTACTCAACCCAATCATCCCAGATACACAACTCATGAGGAAAGGAGAAAAGGAATAGCAATTACCCTTCCTTGGTGTGCTCGTAAGGCGAAATCCCAACGACGAGATAGAAACAACGGTCTACAGGAAGGTGCCAAACACCGCGCAACCTCTCAGTTTTCACACCGACCAACCGGTGGCTCACAAACGAAGCTGTGTGAGACCACTCTTCAAGCAAATACAGGGTAACTGCAGCAACCCGAAGAAAAGGCACATAAGACCCTATATCTCCGCGGTCAAGTCATATGGGACGGTTATCCGAAGGCGCTCATAAGTCGATGCTTATGTGTCCGCCACTCCAGAGGGCAAAACCAGAAATAACCCTCTCGGTGTGGCATGCTCAGTCATACATCAAGTATGCGCCAGAGGCGTCCGAGCGCACTGCTGCGGAAATCGGTGTTGGGATTCCACACCAACTCGAAGCTCCGTGTTCAGTAGGAAGTGATATTTTAGTGTGCCTGCCGTATTTTTCATGCTTTGCCGCCCGCTTATTGTTAGGATTTAAGTAGCCCAAGTTTTTATGTGTTCCAGTAGGTGGGCTACTCCTCTGCTTTTACTTGATTACATTGTGGCATTCCTTTGCGCGGCCGTGTTCGGTGGCATGCCTTAATAAGTGGATGGGGTGGTCTAATAATTGTCTTGTACACTGCAGTTCCATTGCAACGAATCAGAATTAGCTCTGAAATCATCACTTTCCGGATGCATCGCTTTCCCTCAGACACACGGTCGCATCTTTTTCGAGTTATTCCTAATTTATTTGACTTATCATCCTTCTTACCTGTTAAAGTATTGTGGTGCACCTTACCTCCCTTTCCCGTTCAGAGAAGCAAATAAACTCCTCACACGTTATTCCCAATTTATTCATGTAATTTATTTGATGTGATTTTTGGGGAGGAAAATTGAGTTTTCCATGCTGAATCCATACTTTAGGCTAACCAAGTTGATGTAAGTCAAATAATTTGGGAGAAAAATCACACATTTGACCGAAGTACTTACATAATCTTAGTTTACCTTATTTTCGATGTGTTTCGAGGGGTGAAAATTGATGTTTCCTGCCTAAATTCTGATGTATTCTTGGGTGCTGAAATTGACGTTTCATTTCTGCCTTTGTATTGAATTATCAGATGTCATTATGTATTTTTGGCGGATCAAATGCTGACGTTTCTATTCGAAATATCTGCGTTATACTATTCTTTTAATTTTGCTGGACTTATGGGATATATGTTAGCATTTCATTTCTAGACTCCTACCTAATCTCATTTTATTTAGTTTTCGAAGCATTTTTTCGAGAATAAATTATTAGACTTCCCACCTTAAATTTCTACTTAACCTTACCTTATTTTTGATTCACTGTTCAAGGGGAGACTTATTAGCGTTTTCATTCCAAATCCCTACCCAGTTTATTCATTAATTTTTGTCGGAGATTCCATCAATAAAATCTAACGTTTCTGGCGCAAATTCCTATTTTTAATTTGTTTTATTCCCTATATACTCATAAGGGGAAAAAATTTTTCTTCTTGGTTACGATTCCATCTCCAGTTTATTTTATTTCTAGTACATTTGAGAATATTAATTAACTCTGTCGTCCTTGAGGGTTAACTACTTGCCTTTATGGGGCAAAAACGCAACTTGTCCCATAAACTGCAATTGCCCCCTGGTGTTGACCTCCTTCCATCGCGCCAACGTCAGTGCCCAATTTGCGCTATGAACTTTATAATCGGCTCGGCGTTTTCATTGGTCAATTGAGCTAGAACAAGTTCCCTTCCATTCGTCAGCCAGTCCTTGCCGCTTCAGTGACTTCCGCCTCTCTCCTTCCTCCTACCTTTCGTTCAGCGCTCGCCTTCCAAGGCTTTGTATGACGACTTAAACGAAAAGCCGTATTTCTGCTTTTTACGCATTATTTTTGATATTGCTTTGGCCATCTCATGCTCTTCCGCATGTGCTCCCCCTAAAACCCCTATTACCACCGTTTCTGTCTTACAAATGTCCTCATTTGCCACACTCTCTCGAAGGTTGCATACCGTACCGCTGCCCAGCAGGTTCCCAAAATTAGGGACCCATCAAGCCAGTAGAAGCAGCCAGACGTAGCGTATCCTATCTTGCGCATAAAATGTCCTCCTAACTACACACGCCAGACTGAACGTATGCTCGGATCGTGCATACACGAACATAAGCTGGCTGTGCGACGGGGTGACGCACTAACACAATTGGCTGTCCATGCCTTCGAAACATGTCATGAGTTTAACTTCGCAGCCAGCAAACTAGTCACTCACTCCAGAAGCAAGAGAAGCCACGAATTGATCGAAGCCTGTGCCTCGGATGGGAACTGGGTCAACGGATGTAGCGATCCGGCACTGGAATGCAGAGCCCTACGCAGTTATCTTCAGATCTGCATAGTTGGCATTTGTTTGGCCCATACTCCCTATATCTGTTGCGTGTTTCGTCGTTGCTTTCATGTCTGACTATGATCTCTTGCAAGACTTCGAAAGCTCCGACAAGTAAAGAAATGGTCTCGGTGATCGAACAGCCTACTTATTATCCTTATATTTGTCACATACTTCAAAACAAGAAAACCATTTTCGGCCATTTTCTAATTATCCCGCTAATTCCAAGAGGGAACACTAGGGCGCAGAGAGCGACGGCCTTAGTAAAGTGATTCGAGAGGAGGTCGGGAACTGGAGAAATGTAAATGTGGAATCAGGGAATACGGATGGTACGGCGGTGGTTTCACAGAAATGACCGAGCAACCGAGGTGGAGGAAGCTAATGCGAGATTTAACACATCACAAATAATTCAAAGTCGGATACTCCCTTTCTCCTACAATACTTTAAAACTTATAAAGTAAGGGCGGCCTCGACAACCTTAACGAAAACAGTTAGAAAACCGCTGTGAAAGTCGGAGGGTGACCTCCTTTGTGGGCGGTTGACAACTGACTTGGACGAGAGTGCAAAAAAGAACAAAACAGGAATAACGCTCTCAGGCCCTGTCTTTTTGAGGTTGCATAAATTATACTAATACCAGCCCTTACCTCTCGCCGAGTACATCAGAAGGACAAGGTTTTCATACAGCTGCAAGTCCGAATCTCGTTTTTTTGACCGGCAGTCACGCTACAATTTCATAATGACGTCACCAAAAGATAATTAAACAGATACGCAAAATGTAGCAAATGTTAACAATATGTGTGTGTCCTTTCTGGGGATTGTTTGGGAGACCGAGGAGGGCTATGGGTCTCCATATTTACCATCCTTCACCAGTCATGAGACTTGGGACGCACGTCTATTTCGGGTACCTTTGATATTTGGTGGGAATGTCCGTTAACCAACGCCTGAAAGCCGTTTATTTTCACGGCCGACTTTGTTTCTTCAGTCTGTTTCGTGTGATTGCGTTGGTTATGCAGCGCCTTTGTACATGCTTGCCGAAGATCATCCGCGTCGAACAGTTTGTTGAGGAAGCACTTATCCGGGTCATATGTCTGATTATCTTGGCCAGCCAATCGCACCTCTAGGAATGAATAATGTATTCCAGTCAATTGAGAGTTGCAGACACGTTCTGTATACAATAAACTTCGTGGAAGTTACGAAGGTTAGTCAGATGATGGATAATTCTAAGCGATAATTTGTGTGTGGAAGGATGATAACCATATAAAGAATGAGAGATCAGATTTAATGTAGAAAATAATGGTATACAACATCTAGTAAAAGTGCCAGTTTAGCTCAAACTAAATTGAAAAATTTGTCTGCTAGGGATCGTAGCAGCCAAAGTCATGGACAGACCCTAACTACTGTGATCCCCAGATCAGGTCTCAAATAGAATACAGGAATCAGTAGAAGGACAGCCGCAATCTGTATAGAAATAATGAAGAAATACGTAGTTTTGTCAGTTGACAGTGGCGGTGCTTCGCCCGCCCTCATTGATAGGAGTGTCCGAGTGAGCTAAGTTGGAGCGTGTCCGCGTCGACTGGTCACTTTGCATGGTTGTGACTGGACAGTCATTGTAAAAAGCCTCACACTACCAGAGCTTGGCGGAACACGTGTAGGAATGTCATACGGAGTTTTAGTGTCAAACGAATAAACTACTACTGCAACATCTGTGCATTTAAACGTCTAAAAGAGGTGGAATACAATGAGAGCCACCAACAGTGAGACCAGTACACATACGCCAACATACTGTTTAGAAATGTCCATATACTCGGAGCTTCTGTGTATAATCGTAAACTTTACAAGTCTCAAAACTTCTGAATTATTAATTTTGATCTTTGTTTCTTTAAGATAAATGTACTCCTCTTACAGCATACCCTTTGATGTGTACGCACGACGTCGGAAGTGGGTAGGGCTTTCGCATAAAAGCATGCATCGGGTTCATACTTAGCAGACGTCCGTGTAACCTTAATTGGGGGACAAGTATGTAATAAAGGGGACTACTTGCTCAGGCCCTGCACAGTAGAAAGACAGGATACCCGCTTCGCATATCATTCTGTCAGAATAATTTTGCCATTAGGCAAGAAAAGAACATAGGGTCAGATCTTAGTATGCAGCCGTCTATGAAGTAATCTAACCCCAGCTGCCTGTAATATGGGAATGGTGGTAGAGGGATTTTACGGGTGGGGCAGTCGGACACGCTAGTGAGATAGCTGTGAAATTTCTTTGAAGAAAATGGGTTAATGAAGTGCGCAGTAAAACTTTAAATGAGCCGAAACTGAAGCGCCAATGATGAAGATACTTTAGGGATCCAACCAGCCAATCGAAAGCGACAAGGCGCGGTCAACGTCATTCGGCACGGTGTCAGCGGTACATGATGAGGATTATACTGCCGAACTACAGATTTGTTTTGGATAGGCGATATTATGCGGAAATAGCACACCCGCGCGTTGATCGAGTTAAGAGGTATGATTGATCGTAGGGTTTTGGCTAGTGTGAAGGTTAGGGTTAGGGCTGCCCTCACTCTAGCCCAAACCGTAACCGTAGCCCTAACACTAACCATAACCCCTAACCCATAGCCCCTAACACTTAACCCCAACCACTAACCCTAACCCCTAAACCTATCCCATGACCCCTAACACTAACTCCTAACCCTAGCCGGTAGCCAAAATCCCCAACCCCTAACCCTACCCTACCCCCCAACACTAACCCCAACCCCGAACCCAGATAACTTGAGGGTTAGAAGGAAACGACAAGCACCAAGTCAACGTAATCACGCCTACTCAAAGTAAATCAGTAGGTCAACTGTATTATGCTCCGTGTGCATGGGTGCACAATAAGATCTTACCGAATATAGTCCTAATTACCATCGAATAATGCGCTTTCCTATCCACGGGTGTGATTTGTGACACAGGAAAAAACAGGGAAATCAAGTCAGTCGAAAACTTCGTGAAGATTTGGCTTAACCATGACAGGCAGTTTTGCTTAGGTGACACCGGACAAAAATTTCTGAAAGCTGGGTTAATTGACGTAGCTCATGACGTAGTTGTCGCTAACAGGAGAATGCGGGAGACACCAACTGAAGAATTTATTACATAAAGGAGCCTGATGACGGCCTGAGCCCCCTGATGCGCGGTCGGCCATAGGCTCGAATGCACTTCCCTTAACAAGCATGATATGTCAACGAATGGCTGTTTCTCACGCGATAACCAACGTCAGCTTGGTGAGTTGATTGGATTATTCCGACCTCGTGAACATCTATGATTGGGTGTCATTTGGGACTGAAGGCGCGAGTATTCTTTCGACCCCAAGGTAGTTGTCACGTGATCCTGAGAGCGAAGCGTATGCCAGAGGTGGGAGGTTAGTGCGTTTGAGGCACTTACAGATCTACCAGGGAAAGGTGACGATCGGATATGTTGTCCCATCGAGAAAACGAGAGACAAGGATTCACGTAGTGCAAAAATTGTGGTAATTGTGAGGTGTTACGGATGAGGTAAACGAAACTGACAGATAACAGTTTTCAGGAAAGTAAAGCGAAAAATAATTTACAGTTACATCACGAGATGGCTTAAAACCACAAAGAAAACGTAAAAACGCGATTGAGCAATTTGGAATACTGGAAATTAAGGGCCGCAGACGGACGAAAAGAAAACCGACGGCATTAGTTATATATTCCAGGCGAACTGGTCCTGGCCAGTAATGACCAGTCATATTGAAGGAGAAAAATGTGAAGAATATAGCGATAAATCCGACTCGTCTGATGGCCGGAGCTGAACATATAACTGAATTTCACAACGCGGATAGCGTAACCCATAACTCTGGACCTAGGTCTAAATCTTAACCCTAACCTTAACCACTAGCCCTGACGAAAACCTCTAATCCCCGGTCCTAGCCCTAACCCCTTACACTTATCCTTAACTCTAACCTAAACCACTAACCTTAACCCTAACTCGTGGTCCATAGCTGTAGCCCTAAACCGAGCGCTAATCCTGATGCCGACGCTTGAGGGACGCGTGACGGGGATGTACGGAAAGAGAGGGAGTTGAATCAGGATCACCTAAACTACATAAGTAGACATTTTTGTGGAAGCAAAGGCTATGCAAGGCTACATATTCGATAATTATCCAGCGAAATAGCGGATCTTATGGTTCGTCGTTGCACGCTTTGAAGAATTCTGTACACTTCAGTTTAAGTTTGCGAAGTGATCCTCAACAGACTATTACAGGTCGAATCAAACGCGGACTTCAGCGTGCTTTCCTACCTGTGCAAGGTGATTACATGGATCCCAGAAGTTTTGTCATAGAAGAGCAGCGAAGGCTGACTCAATTTCAGTCGACTTAAACAAAGAGCGCGGTCATCAACACTTGGTGATGATCACATCGACCTTCGGCGATGGGACGAAGAGTCAAGAGTGGAGAGGACATCAAAAATGCCACCCTCCCACATTGCTGAAAAAGTTACGAAAATCTCCAGCCTGCAACAGCCACCAACATATCTCTCAGTCAACGCCGCTGACTACGTCTTAGACCCCATCCTCACTAGCTACCTGATCGGAATATAAACTTCTGCCGGGGTCGCAGTGGGGATTCCACAAATAATATGAGATGATTCTGCCACATGGCAACTTCACAAGTAATGTCACTAAGCAAGAAGATACTCTGAACCGTCCTAGTTTAGCTCACAAGAAAATGTTGAAAAAGGATGGGAATGCCCGTAAAATGCTAAGCACCTGATGAAAGAACCCTACCATGGCATGCCTGGTAGCGCTTTCGACAGAAGAACGATACTGGTAGTCTTCGTAACAAAGACTGTAGAGAGACAGCTTGTAGAAAGAACAATTTTCATGGCAATGCTGCTGGACGTTAAGGATGGAAAAAAGTCGAAGCGACTGAGATTTCCGCTTTTCGCGACGCGCACACACGCCAAGTGGGTTTTTGAAAATGAACTGTCATTTTTGTTCTCCGTTCACCCATGGACACTTATCTGCTTATCTTATGCTAACTGATTACTTGGCTGAATGAAGTTGAGTTTTCATCTTTACGGCTCTGTCCCAAGTAATTCCACCACCGCTAACTACGTCCTGATGTCTTTTAAGGAAATAAACTTCCCCCGTTAACCTTTTACATAAGTAAAAATTAAACTGTGCACTGTTTGCTTGTACTCGGCCGTAGCGTTTAGAGAATTTCCGATCAGAGTTTTTCTACCCCAGAGTCGGCGCCCATCTCTCAATTTCTGTTCATAAGTACGGTAAATGTGTGCTATTTCATGAAATGTTAACCGAAATCCTGAATGCTGTATGTATTCTACTCGCCATCGTGCAGCATGACCACAGAGATATTTCAGTCACGACAGGTTGCCGGCTTTTGGATGAGCTTCTTTTGGGTGACTGCAAAAACTACGCTCTGTAAATAACCTGTTTAGGTAGTATGAAAATTTTCCTATTCATTTTCGATGCCCTTATAAGCAAAATTATATTTTAGCGAAAAAAAGTGTACAAAACCATTCTTTCATCTAGTCATTTGGTGAAAAATCAGTCTTCTTCAAATTTTACATCCAAACAAAGACAATTATTCTGTTTTAAAAGTTTCTGATTTAATTTTTGTAAAAAAACGCAAAATGTCTATTCATACAGCACCACATCAGCAAGTTTATTAGTGCTACTTATAAAGTATACAACCCAGTCCACATCCATTGCACAGTTTTAGGAGGCCTATATGAAGTATTCATAACAATGTAGGGAAATGCGTGATATTTCATTGACGGAATGCATACAGGATGTAAGCTGGAAACCGTGAATGCAGGTACAACGGCAGATCTGGTTCAGAATTTTTCTGGACTTGAAAAAAGTTTTTAAAGATCGAATGGATCTGCCTCTTTAAATATGAAATTTGGAAAGGACGTCATTTGTTAACACATTAGTGCAACTGTTCATGGCTGCCTTTTGTGGGCAATTGAAGGCTCAGCGTCACGATAGGAGTGGTCATCCTTTACCTCCTCTCCGCCTTCTTGGTTGGAGGACTGTGAATCATGTCATACGGGAATGGTGGTATCAGTTGTTAGCATGCGTCCCCGTCCGGATTATCCGGTCGGGCTCCCATATGTACACTTTTCACAGTTGAGGAAAGCGTTCACATTCCAGATGTACCGATAGCTAGGGAAGAAGAGGGCTGTTCTGAATCATGGTCTCTTTCGACTTGACGCCGTCATCTAAACATATCCCGCCAAGTTTGATGTAAGATGTCATACAACGAAACTCGGAGTCCGCGCACGCTTGAAAACCTCAAAGGGCTACTCATATTTTGCCAAAGGACCTACTTCGCTTTTCCAGGAGAAACTTATGAGCAGATCAAGGGAACTTCAAAGGGTTCCCCAGTCTATGCTCTAGTGACAAAGCTAGCCCCAGAAGACCCGGAAAAGATTGCCTTCACAAAGCAAGCGCCGTTACGCTGGCAACACGTTTACTACTGTCGGGAAGAACCTTCTGCAAAATTTCCACAGTCTACTCAACCCAATCATCCCAGATATACAGTTCATGAGAAAATGAGAAAAGGAGCAGCAGTTACCCTTCCTTGGTGTGCTCGTAAGGCGAAATCCCAACGACGAGATAGAAACAACGGTCTACAGGCAGGTGCCAAACACCGCGCAACCTCTCAGTTTTCACACCGACCAACCGGTGGCTCACAAACGAAGCTGTGTGAGACCACTCTTCAAGCAAATACAGGGTAACTGCAGCAACCCGAAGAAAAGGCACATAAGACCCTATATCTCCGCGGTCAAGTCATATGGGACGGTTATCCGAAGGCGCTCATAAGTCGATGCTTATGTGTCCGCCACTCCAGAGGCACAACCAGAAATAACCCTCTCGGTGTGGCATGCTCAGTCATAAATCAACTGCAGAGGGAGACTGATCTTCTTAAATATTGGCTGAAATTCTGAAATGCGTTTTCGATTAGGAAGGATTACTTAGGGGTGGTTGTAATAATGATTATTTTGCTCACAATCCTATAATATTTCGAACTCGGCAGGATGTCAGCTTTTGAATACACTGTTTTTCAAACTCCTGTAGAAACCGTACTCGATGAAGGCCGACTTCTTAAGTGGCATACATTTTTTGCCTTGTGTATTGATGATCTTGAAAATTCAAATATATTTTTTAGAAACCTCGCACAGAAATACGCTTTATTTTGGTCGATTGATAAAGAATCACGTCATGTTTATATTTTACACTCGAAGAAGATGTATAATTAGGTTTTAGAAAAGTTTCTAATTATGAAATTTTTTATGATCGCGCAATGTCCATTTATACAGCATCGTACCTGTGCGTTTACCGCTTCTCCTCATGAAATGTGCAAAATAGTCGGCATTCGTTGCAAAATTTTATGGACTCTATATGGTACCTTTTTAAAGCTATAGAAGAACATGTGATATTCTTTAGTGGGAGCGCATGCACCTTGTGGACTGAAATCACTAAGCTATAATGCAACGACTGATGAGGCTCCAAATTATTCGGAGAACTTTCTCAAAACCTAATTATACTCCTTCTTCGAGTATAAGATATAATGATGACGTGATTCTCTATCAATAGACTAAAATAAAGCATATTTCAGTGCGTGGTTTCTATAAAAAGTATTAGCATTTTCAAGGTCATTAAATCACAATGTAAAAAATGCCTGCCACATAAAAAATCGTTTTTTTTTTTACCGAGTACGGTTTCTACAGGAGTTTGAAAAGCAGTGTATTCAAAAGCTGACATCCTGCCGAGTCCGAAATATTATTGGATAGTGCCGCAAGATAATCATTATTACAACCGCCCCTAAGTAATCTTTCCTAATCAAAAGCGCATTTCAGAATTTCAGCCAGTATTTCATGAGGTTGGTCACTCACTGTACGTGCCAGGGGCGATCGAGCGCATCGCAGCGTAATTTGGTGTTGGGATTCGACACCGACCCTAAGCTACCATATTCAGCAGGGTCCCCAAATCAGGGACCCATCAAGCCAGAAGAAGCAGCCAGACGTAGCGTATCCTATCTTGCGCATAAAATGTCCTCCTAACTACACACGCCAGACTGAACGTATGCTCGGATCGTGCATACACGAACATAAGCTGGCTGTGCGACGGAGTGACGCACTAACACAATTGGCTGTCCATGCCTTCGAAACATGTCATGAGTTTAACTTCACAGCCAGCAAACTAGTCACTCACTCCAGAAGCAAGAGAAGCCACGAATTGATTGAAGCCTGTGCCTCGGATGGGAACTGGGTCAACGGATGTATCGATCTGGCACCGGAATACAGAGTCCTGCGCAGTCATCTTCAGATCTACATAGTTGGCGTTTGCTTGACATATACTTCCTATAACTGTTGTGTGTTTCGTTGCTGTTTTCATGCCTGACGATGATCTCTTGTACGACTTCGAAAGCTCAGACAAGTAAAGAAATGGTGTTGGTGATTGAACAGTCTTCCTTCCTACTTCCTGAAGTCGACTTTATCTTTCGAACTAGTTTTATCGACGAGAATCACAATACCTCAACATATTTTAATGACAAACATACATTTGGAATATCAGACCTTCCTTTGCATCAAAAGAGGGCTTTTGTTAACAGCATGATAAATATACTTTTGTCGTCTTTTCTTCCGTACTTGATGTGCTCAACTCAGTCGAGCAACTAGATATGTCGGTTGTTCCTTTCACAAACGGAGACAGAGGAGAAGAAGGATTCACACACATCTTAGGAATTTCCAAGGCTACAGCAGAAAGCGTTGGTTTGGCTTACGTTTTTCTCGAATTTGGCCCAGCAGTGCAGTCTTCGTTTCCTCTCTGAGGCTTTTTTGTGCACGCGCCTGTACATTACGGACCTCTTGCTGCTCTGCCATCACCTTCCTGGCTTCCTCTTCGAAGAGGCGGCCCAATTCCCTATTCCGTTCCCTTTGAGCTGTCTGGAAGTCACGCGTATAGTTTAGGAAGCCCAAAACGTCTTTCTGTCTCTGAACCTATACATGATGAGCGATGGGCGTGAGAGTCAAGATTATTTACAACACATAACTAATATATAAAACCTACTGATTGAGTAGTTGAAACACTAAATTTCAATTTCTCTACCCTGTTTTTTCAGTGCACGTTTACATACTTAGTTCAGTTTCTGCGGGCCTGTGGTCTGAAACTGTTTTGGCCGATAGGAACCAAATCCGATTATAGCTGAATGTTCTTTACGAGTTCCAAATCTAAAGTGACCTATTCAAAGTAATTATTTCAAGTTTAGATCAGAGGCATCTTCGTAAGAGGCATAATTCTGGACAAAAGGGACGGTGAAAGTGGACGACCTATGACAAACTAGTATGCATGATTGTATAATATACCACCGTACTTCAATATACTTAAGTCAGCAAAAAGCATACATCTTAGTGAACACATTTGGTAAGTTGGAACGAAAGAAACGACACAGCAGCATGTATGAGAAGATTTGGTAAAGTTAAAGGTTGCATCTAGGGTCACATAAGCCAGGCAAAGAACTAAAAACAAGTCGGCGTCAGGCACTAATGCTCAGGTCTAATCGGAATACACAGTGTCACAATCTGACAAACCAGAAACGCGTTAGGAAGAGCCGTCCTAACCTGTTCGTTCTCACGCCGTCTTGACGATACGCTCACACGTCATGCGCGTGCTGATGTCGCGACAGGATGAGTCAAAAGTGCAGGCGACATACTGCTCACTCAGGGATACTATCTGATTGGTCTACTTTCGGTCCGACCTTGGACATTCCCGTATGTTCCTTTTTCGCCTTATATACGCTAGTAGGGTATGTCAACAAACTCCTGTTCTTCCGTCCTTCCTGTTCAGTTCGAATCTGGGAATTAGGCGGAGACGAATTATTGGATGAATAACCATCGAGGCGTGCAGCAAGTTCACGGCAAATTGCCGACGCAGAACTCACAATGTCCATTTCCGCGAAACACTTACCGCGTATCCCACAACAACAACAACGGGCTCAGTTCGATGCAGCTCATCTGATGATGTTGGAGTTCATGATGCAAAAGCTCATTTTGCACTTTCCAGCATCCTCATGGAGGCGGTCAACTTCAGCGGATGCAGTTGATTCTAGAAGTAGTGAGTTCAATTATAATCCCGATTCGGGTGTGATTTTCATTTTTGGCTCAACCGATGGGAAGACAGTTTACACGTTGAATTTTCTAGTACCGATCATGCGTGGAAGGTGCACAGCTTTGGTACCAACGAGCGCGAGCGGTACACTGACCTGATTCTGCCAAGGAAACCTTGTAAATCCATGTTCGATGAAACCGTCAAGCAACTCTTAGGGACCATCGGAGAGAAGTCGTCATTGTTCAGTACCTGACACCACTCCCTGAAGCTGGTGAAGAATTGAGGCGGATGATTTTCGGACTTTCGCCACTATTGTCGACCGCAAGTGTGAAAATTTAGAGCTGCGATTGATGATGTAAGGCCAGTTTAAGTGCACCATCTTCATGTGCGCTCTTCAGTCACCCCGCAATGTTGAAATCAGAACCCGTCTGCCTAGCACAAATGCACAAGATCCCGACCCAACCCTACGGACACTGACTTTCGAGTGTCAGCGTATCTATAATTCTTAGCACTATTCTGCCATTGTGGAGCAACTCGGTGCCACATTCGCCGCTACCAACTTTTATGCTGTCACCAATAGCAAGTTAATGTCACCGTATAAGTCCCAGGAGTCGACGTCCAGAAAACCCACCAACGGCATGTTAGCAACGCGGTGCGTGACATTTCGCTAGCTCCTGCCTATACAAGAAGCAGGTATATCAAAAATATAATAAGCGAGGACGCAAGGAAGACCACTGCAGAGCAAGCCAACCTTCCAAATGAAAGGTACGAAAGAGGCAGATGAGACGTCACATACATTCTTCAATCCATTCCGGTCCAAAGTCTCGCTCCATCTTGGGCCCGTTGAAAATCGAGTTTGAGGCATGGAGAAAGTGCCCTACGGTTACCATCCATGGAGCACCAGTTCGCCTATAGCTAAACAGCCCCAGGCATCACACTCATCTCCGGGAGTACTTGGCACGCGATTGGTCAGCCTCCAATGATCATGTCGGACAAAAAGGGTCAACTGTCGGTGGACTGTAGATCATGTCATATGGGGTTTTATCTTGGCATCCATTTACAGGCCTTTTGCAGAAGTTACACTGTAAATAACAATTACTTCCTATGACCTTACACCATTACTCAAAATCCGTTTTATTGGAGACTTACTTTTTGCTCATTTTTTAGTTAACACACTCATTCCCGTTGCCATACAAAAGCGTACGATAGGACTTTCGGCAGAAATCTAAACAATTTGTGTGTTTTCTCGCATTTTGTCAGCTTATTATCTGGCGTACTGCCCCACCCTTAAAACTCCCGCTACCACCGTCCCCGTATGGCACAATCCACAGTCTACCGACAGCTAAGTGTGTTCCTTCACCCTACCGTTGCCCTGAGATCCGCCCACGTGCCATGCGCGTGCGGATGTTGCGCCAGCTCCCGACAGGATCAGAGTTCTACCCAACCGGCTAGGTGAGTCAGAAGTCCAGCCGAGATGCTACTCACTCAAGAATGCTATTTGATTGGTCTTATTTCGGCCTGACCTTGGGCATTCCCGTATGTTCCATTTCGTCCTATATGCGCTGTTAGTACACGTCAATAAATTACTCTTCGTCAGTCCTAGCTGTTCAGTACCGACAAGGTCGAGGCTAGTTGTTGGACGGGCAACTATCGAGGAATGCGGCGAGTTTGTGACGAGAAAAAAAACTTAAATATGATAAAAACGCACTGTCTGGGGAGAATGCGGGGGGAGGAAGGGGGAATAAGTGGTTTGAGTCATTTGGCAGGCATGTGAACACTCTAACATTTACCTTCCTCTGAAAACTTTCGTCTTCCGGGGGTTCATCATTTTTCACATAGGCCCGTTTTGCTATCTCCTCTTCCCTGCTCTGACCTCGCAGAATGACGTGACGTTGTTGAATCTGTTCCTCGTATTCCTTTTTCAGGCGGGCTTTTCTGGCTGCCAGTCGATCGCGTTCCTCCTGGTCGTCTCTCATGATACGCTCATTGTAGGCTTTCTGAGAGGTGAAAAACGTGCTATGTTCCCAAAATAAATTAGAAAGATAAAATCAACAACAACAGTCAGGCCTATGGAAGGAAGTTGCAAAGCCTTCCTCGTAGTTGGCGATCCGCAGTCACTCTGCAGCGATTCAAGGACGTTAAGAGGATTGGTTAGCAAATAGGAATTAATAGGTACGGGCAACATCAACTGTCTGCGTAGTTAAACTACCTCCCACTACTTATCTAAAGTATTATGCGTGAAAGGCGTTACGTCTGCGTCTGAAATGATCTTTTGTCCTTTGTAGAGGTCACTGAAAAACTCTCGAGTTCGGCACTACCTTACTTAAACTATTGGTCCGAAAGTGACGCTAACAAATAAAAACAAGACGATACATGGGAATAGAAACCCCTTACATTATAGTCCTTACTCGTGTATACTTATTTGATTTGGATAACTTGATATGGATTAGCAATTATCTCTGAGTTTTTTCTACTAAGAGATTTGAATTGCGAAGACTTTGTTTATTACTTGTTTGCTACCTTAGAAGGGCCATTCGGCGCGTTTTTCCCATAATATAGGTGGCGTTTCGATAAGTTCCGAGAAGGGATCCTAGTTCCGTATCATAACTCCAGCCGTAGCACCAGCATTAATCCAGATGTTACCGCTAGCCTTAGCACTAACCTTGGTCGTAAGCTTAACCCTAAACCCAGCATTAGTCGTAACCCTTACCTTTACCCTAGCTTTAGCTCAAAACCTAATGTTCCTGGAATTTAGCGTAAAGCCACTCGCATTGCTGGGTACCTATTTCTGTGTCCTGCATTTCTACTATTTAATTAACACACAACTCCACCTTACAGTTCGACCGTCGCAAATTACGATGTCCGCCGTGTGTCCCGCAGCATATCGGATACAAGAGTGTGAATTCGGCGTGATTTGGTTTATGGTGGTAGTGGATTTGTGCAGCATCTACCACACTTCCTCCTTCCTCACCCAACTGAGTCCGGTGTCCAGACGCAAACAGGGAGGCCGGGGGCGGGGCAGGCCCTCTGGCTGACAAGGATAAAAGACCCACCTGCGCGTGCGTGTCACGCACACAGGTCTGGTCCGCGCACAAAGGACCAGGGTTTCACAGAAACACAAAATGTGCAGCTTGGACCCCAAATGAGCGGGAGTGCCGTAGAGGCCATGGTAGGACTGACTTATATAGTCTCCTAAACAGAACACATGAACAGGAACCACCTGTAATACGGGTGGCTTTGAGCCGACTTCCAGTAAAGTTGGGGTTAAGTTCAAAGTTAGGGTCAGGGCTAGGTTATGGATTGGGTTAAGAGTTAGATTTAAAGTGAGTGATGACGTAATTCGGGATCGGGTTTAGGGCTAAGGCAGGGGCAAGTGTTAAATGCAGAGTTACGGTTTAGGGTAGGGTCAGAGTCAAGATTAGGGCAGCGGTTTAGTTTTACATCAGGGTTATTGTGCGGGTTAGGGCACGGGAATATTTTGCCCTTTCCGGAATTATGCGCAGTTTCACCTTTACTACTTGGGCGGGGCGTTTCTATTCAGGTGTCTTGTTTAGGGGGGCATATACATAAGTTAATCTCGTCGAGGCCATATTGGGAGGCAACCAGTACAACCTGTTTCTCCGTCCTGAGAGGAAGGCCGAGTTATCCCGTCTGTTGGCAACCTTTCAAGCCACGGCCCCTTAGACGTTTTCTAATGAGGATAATGCACTGAGTGACGTAGGGGAGTAGTTTTCAGAATCGACTTCACCCTCACTCTCTCCTCTTCTAGGCACCACTCCACTTCTATTTTTTTAAAAGGTGCTTTTAGCGCCACTGCGCCCTACAGATTATTACTCAGGCTACCTAAATCAAATAAGTAGAGACGATACAGGAATAAGGTTCAAAGGGTTCCTATTCCGTGTATCGAGTTAATAGATCTTTTGCGACTACCTTTCGTGACTGGGGCTCCAAGCCTCCTTCGTATGCTTTAAGCAAGCTCCTCCGTCACAGGCTGAAGCATCCGCTCCCACACTATTGACAAATCGTCTTCGGGACCAGGAAATACTATGAAAAAAACGGCGCACTCTTACTAGACAGTTGGCGGAGAAGCTCCGTCACTTCTTCAGAGACTGGTTAATCCAGTATAACATCTGCATCACAGGGCCTTTGGTTGGAACGCGCCATCTTACCCGGTTGAAAGGTTGCCTGTGCTGACTGTACCCCCACATGTTTTGTTTGACCACCGGAATTCTCCGTACGCGGTCTGGCATGGCCGGGCAAGCGATTAATACGTTAGTGCAACAGTTAATTAAACTGTTCACCGCCTGACCCCGCGAGTTTGACATTACAAAGTAGGACTCATGTCGAATGTAGGCAGCATGCAATGCTACTTGCGACTTATAATCAAAATTCCCGACCATTAGTTATTTGCTCCCGCAGAGAACTGAGGTTGAGGAAATTTCTGTTCGGCGATCTGTGGGACGAAGCTGCACGGCCTAATGCATATGATAAGTGGCTTTGTCTCCAATGTCCTCAAGTACTACTGATCCCAAGCGATTCGGTAGTGAGATTACAAGACCTGTCCTCTGTTGGTTCCTATTGTTCCCTGTGCGTATACTTACGCTTCCTGCGGTTGAAGTGCAGGGTGACTTTGCGTTGTTTTCTTGAGTAGATACACTTTCAAATAACGTAGTTCAGCAACCCCTGAAAAAATTCATAATTAGTTAAGTTCTACTGACACTCCGCCAGCTGTGTGGAGAATACCACATGGAACAAGAACAAAGAAGCCTAGTGGAGGCACCCAGATGATGGCTGGCGCAGTGATCATAGCCCGCAGTGTTTGCAGAGTATTGGTCAGTCAAGGAAGGTATGGACATCTTTCGCAGATAACTGACGAAAATAAAGGGAACGCTGTCTAATAAGTCCAAGCATATAAGGATGGTTGTAATTTAGAACTATTTGACAGACTACCGACTACAGAAAGAAATATAAATGCCAGAGAGTTGAGACTGGGTTCCCACTTAAATTCATTGCTGCACTTTCTTGGTATGCACAGGTGTCATTCCGAATGTACTTGCCCTTCCTTGCTGGTAAATTTTTCCAACAGGCAGTCAATTTGCATTTCCCATAAATTCACAAAACTATGTTGGCTGCTGTGAACATAAATCGATGCTAAGGCCGAGGTTAGAGGGGGGGAAGGGAACAACAGCCCACTAAATGTCCTGGATCGGGGCACAAACGTGACTAGAAAGACTTAAGAAATGTGACCAGATAAACAAGGATAAATAACGATAGGATGGAATAATACGCTCTTAGAGATGTTAGGACCAGCAAAATCCTGCTATGAAGCACTAATGGGCCCCTATTTCCACTCCCTTTTGTGCCGAGTAATCGCAGTCGACTAGCTATTATTTCAGATATGTAAGTTGTTTATGGAGAAGACCACAGTAGTGGGGAACACACAATTACAGACAACACTTGTTGCCAGACGAAGAAGCACCGTCGATGGGCCTTGATTTTGTGTCTCTAGCTTTTACACGCTGTAATATACTATAGTTTAATATAAGTCACGCTAATTTTGTAAGCCGTAGCTATTTGCATACGCTAATGCAATTGTCTGCAGGTATCTGAAATAGGTTGGCTATCGTGTCTAGGACTAAGAAATTTTATATGGAAATGTAACGATTGAGTATCTGAAAACCCACTGTTCCAGGAAGCAAATTAAACTAAACACGTAAGTTACCGTAGTAGAATTATCATACCTATCTCGTTTTCGTAAATGCATCACCGATACGACATACTTGTCCCTCAAAATAGTTAAAACTAATCTATTACGGTAGGAGAAGTAGGATTTGTCACCCACCAGGGCCTAGTAAAGGATATCAAGCTTGAAAAACGCTCCGAAATCAATGGAATTGAGGTCACAAAAAGGATGACCAACTACTCACAAAGTCTTCATAGGTCTTTTGCCTGCTTTCTCTCGCCCGAACTTTTGCTTGGAGGTACCGAAGTTTCTCCGCCCGAAGACCTTCAGATAGTGCTCTACACCCCGCATGGAATGTTGTTATGTAAAACGAACCTACCTGCAGCTCTCCGGGTCAAGGCGTCCCCGCTCTTCAGCATGGCCTGCCACCCATGGTTCGAGTGACTTCATTTCCGACAAAATAGCCTCTTCCCAGGCCCTCTGGAGTGAGACAGTTTCGTTCATCTCTATTTGAGCCTTCAAGTCCCGGACGTAATCTCTATTCTTCTGGCGTCTCTGTTCGTCATCCAAGGAGCTTTTCCTTTTCCTTCCCCAGAAAAGTACAAACATGGTTAATATCTCTTCGTCAATGAAATAAACTGTTAGTGGTCGGCAGTTATTAATTTAAATTCTGTGAAGGTGGAAAAACCTAATAAGAATTTGGCAATTTGAAATTCTTCTTTACCGTGTCTGAAACTAACTCCCATGGTCCGCCACCCATTACGCAGTGTTCTTAATGCACTATGTATTGTCCTTTTTAATTTCCTAGGAAATTTATGCTCGAGCTTGGAGTAACTCCTTTGCAGCAGACCACTTTGGGCTCCACGCGAAAGTTGATGTGACTATTTGGGCTGAAATGCGTCAGCCACTGCAGAATGACTCCGTGATATCCATAGGCTGCCAACGGGCGGTCAGTAATATACAAGCACAAGCTACAAACAATTAATTAGCTAAGCAACTGGAGATGCGGTGGCGCCAATTGCGGACTACCATTCGCTCCACCGCTCTGGACATTCTCGGTCGTCTACGTCGTCAACACCGGGATTGGTTTGAGGACGAAGAAATCCGCCATCTGCTAGCCGAGAAGAATGGATTGCACAAAGAATACATCAACTGCCGTACCGACGCAAGTAAACTGCCTGGATGAATCGCATTACCGAAGAAATCCAAGGGTACGCGAGACGCAACGAAACGAAAATCTTTTCGCTCCCATTAAAACAGCCTACGCTCCCTGCATCAAAGAACTGCACCGCTACTCAGTTCCGGTGGAACAACAATCCCGGAGGAGAAATCGTAGAGTCTGAAGCACCGGGTCGAGCACTTATGAACCATCCTCAACCGCCCGTCCACGATCTACGAGACCGCCATCGACCGGCTCCCTCAAATGAAAACGAAAAACGACCTGGACCTTCCACCTTCCCTCCCAGCAAAAATCAGAGCCATGCACCGGCGGGAAAACACCGGGATCCGATGCGATCCCGGCGGAAGTCTACAAGGATGGTTGTCCCCGGCCGATGGACAGAGTTACAGTGCTGTTTCAGAGGATGTGGCGTCAGGGACATGTTCTCCAAGATTTAAATGACGTGACAATCGTTCACCTCTACAAGCGAAAACGGAACCGACAAGTCTGTGATGATCACAGAGCAATCACGTTGATCAAAAATTTTCTAGAAGATCTTCGCCTGCATCCTTCTCAGACGCCTCGACGATAATCTGAAACGCGGGCTTCTCTTGAAAAGCCAGTATAGCTTCCGACGACACCGCGAAATTATCGATATGATCTTCATCACCCGCCCGCTGCCACAGACATGTCAGCAAATGTAGGTCCACCTAGATACTACTATCATGAACCTGATGAACACCTTTGACATGGTGAATCGCGATGAACTGTGGAAAATCACGCAGAAATTCGGCTGTCCTGAGCGACTCACTTACATTGCGTGCCAGTTCCACGAGGGGATAATCGTGCACGTCACAAACGACGGGACCGTCTCAGAAGCATTTGCAGTTGCCAGCGGGGTGAAGCAGGGTTGCGTACTCACTCCAACCCTCTTCATTCTCATGCTTTCTGTCGTACTAATGGGCATCTGCCATGATGAACGCCCCGGGGACCGCCTAGTCTACGGGACCAACGACCATCCTCTCAACAGCCGGCGCCCATAGGCCCAAGGCGTCTTTCCACGACTGTTGCCTACGACTTGTTCTGCGTGGACGATTGAACCCTCATCAGTATGACAGAAGCGTATTTGCAACGGAGCATGAGCCTCTTCGCCTCCGGCTGCGTCAACTTCGAGCTGACCATCAACACGAACAAGACGGCGGTCAGGCGTCTGCTATCACCCCACGTTGAGTACAACGCTCCTCGCATCATTGCCGACGACAAACAACTGAAAACCGTGGACATCTTCGCCTACGTAGGCAGCACTCTCTCACGCAACATTAATATCGACGATAAAATGGCTCATCGAATCTCCAAAGTCAGTCAGGCCTTTGATAGGGTGCAGGACTCAATGTGGAATCGCCACGGTTTCCATCTCAAACTAGAATCAAGATGCGTATAGCTGTCATCTTGACAACACTGTTTTGTAGAACGGAGGCCTGGACTGTTTACAAACAACAAGAGCTTATACTCGATCACTTCCACCTCAGCTGTCTTCGGAGAATAATAAAGCTGAGATTGGCTTGAACAAATCAGTCCTTGGACCTGAAAGGATCTCGCCAGGACCAACCAGCTTGGAGAAGAGCGTTGGAGACTGGAGCAGAAACTTGTGAAGCCAGCCGGATCGTCGCTGCCAAAGGCAAAGCTACAGCTCGGGAGTCTTAAGCGTCTCCGATCCACAACGCTAGCATCCAACACCTTCCAACATGTCCACACTGTAAACGAACATTCTGAGTGCCGAATGCTCTCGTCGGACATTGTCGGACCCAGTGCAATAGCAGCCTAACAATTCCACCATCTAACTCCACAAACACTCCTGCAGAAAACTCCAACGCGTCCACGGCGACGACCACCTCCACCATCACCGCTGATCACGCTTCTGATGTTCTACGGCTGTCGTTTATCGCCCCCCCGCACCATCTCTGCCACAACCTCCGCGACAGCGACGAAGACTACCACCTCTCCCACCCCCGCCGCCAACGGAAACACTCATTTCGGCCCATCAACCACTACCTTCACTACCGCCAGCAATGTACACTCAATCTCAACCTGTCCTCATTACAATCGAATATTCACCTCAGGCATCGGCCTGGTCCGTCACTTACGAATCAATTGCAAAGAGACCGGCGAACCAGTGCTGGAAGCCCCGACATACACTCGCTACACCTGCCCTCACTGTCAGTACTACCTACCGCATAGGCCTGTTCGGTCACACGTGTATCCGTGGTAGCGTAGTTCACTGCAGTATTGACGCACCAAGCATACCTTGTACACCTGACACATCTCTCATCTCCAGCACTACCAAATGCCTCTCCATCAGTGCAGCCATCACTAGCAACCTCAGCACCGCAACCGATTCTGCAGGCCCCGACCTGGCCTGCCCACACTGCCACCGCACATGCACAGCACGCATCGGCCTGGTCGGTAACTTTGGAGCCTACCGCACAGAGACTGGCAAATCAGTACCTCCAGCACCAAAAAACACCCGTCGCCATCGTCTCAACTCCTCGTATTTCCCTCTCACATGCGACCATCGCATGGGCCTACTCGCTCACATGCGCATCCACGAGAATCTGCAGTAGATTACAGCAGACTAGACTACACCACCGCAGGTTCGTCCACCAACACGTGCACCGCGCATGGACACGTCCAAAACCACACACCGCAGGCACGAAGTAGGCGCCTGCCACGTAACTGGGAAGTGTGTTCTTTGGCCTCTAGTCCATGTGGTCTCTGTGCCACATGTGAGTTCCGGGCCGCCCATCCCTTTGTGAAACACTGTTGTATGCGTTTGGTAGGAGGGTAAGTCGTGCGCATTGCACCCGCAGACGGACTATTCTCAGTTCTGTCAGCCAATCAGTCCAAATTCAAACATCAGTTGGTTGACAGCCCTGGACAGTCGACTGGTGCAGGGGAAAGGGAAGAGAGAGATAGGTTGATTCCTAGTGCATTGCCCCACCATAAAAAAATCTGACGCGCTTGACGCTATCATGGTGCGAGAAAGTCGCGGCTTGGAAGGCTGCCAACCGACGATTCAATTCCGACCTCGCAGTTAGTATTAGCTAAAACTCAGTATGGTAAATAATTACGTAGTTACATACTACTGGCGACCTGTTGGCAGCTTCGAAATATTACGTGGTTAGTCCGCAATAGCTGGTGAATTTCAGTTCAGATATTTATATCAACTGTCTGACCGGGCCTGAAAAGATCTGTTACAATTCCAGTTTCAGTTTATTTGAGGTAAACATAGGTGTTGAACCTTTGCACTCCCTATTTGTTACAAGGAAGCGAATTATATCAAAAAATTTTAAATGGAAACATCAAAAAGCTACGGAAGTTTTTTAAGATTGGCAAAGTTTTCGAAACCAGACAGATAAACAAATTGTTCCAAGTCTTAAAGACACTAATGCCACTAAATTTTCTGCACAGTAGTCTGCTATGGATAATTGGTGCTATCTCAGTTTCTGAGGGAGACGAATTGAATGCCAACACTCACATTCAACTGACCTGGGCAATAATAAAAACAAACGTTACTGAAATACAGTCAGTAATATAATAACATTAATAAACTTGTCGAACGAAGTGCTAAGACGATGTCGGTCAGGGGACATTATGACATTTAGTGGTACACTGGTCGAGTTCCAGCACGCGGAAATGAAATCTGTAGGAACCTAGGGGTTTTGCTGTAGCAGTCAAAGCCCTCTTTGGACCACGATACTCGGACCCTCAGTCCAGGTTCTGAGTGGGAGACGAAGAGGGGCGCCGTCAATGAAAAAAACGTGCTCTGTGCGGAATGCGTGAAGACTATGATATCAGAGCAGGTTGACAGACGGACGCGGTGCAGGCGTCTATCCGTCGCTGGGGCAGGAGTTCGTGCGAGTTGAGCGAGGGCTAGCCGGCCTCAACCTTGCAGTCGATTGACCGGACACCACACACCGCCTGGCGGTGTCAGACGCGACGACAGCACCGTACAGAGTTGCGCACTGCCAGATGAAGTAACTCTCATTAGTGCTTACGTACAGGCGTGCGCCAGGGGCAGTGGCACAACACGCGCCGGGGCTGGGGCCCCTTCCCTCAGCCTACGTTGACACGTAAGGAAACAAGCCAGTGGATGCCCAGACAAGAGAATTAAATTCCAAGCAGTGTCCCTTCGGGAAGGCCTTCAGGTAGTCTCGACGCGCGACGCTGATGCCGCCAGGCAGGATGTTTTCATGTTCCACGAAGAATGGCTCTCGTAACACTCGTTTAGGGGATGGGCCCCTTTCCTAATCCGAAGGCGAGAGGCTGATATGGTTTTTTCGTCTGCGATTCAATTCGCCCCAAGATAAACTCTTTTACCCGCACCTAGTTGAATAGATTTTTGAATGAGCGCAAAGGTATTATGTTTACCTCACGAAAATTACTCCTGTGTTGCAGTTTGAATTAATTTCAAATAGTCTAGGTGACTGAGTAATGTCAGTTTACTTGGGAGTCAGTGGGAATGGAAAAGCAACTCTGCAAAAGTACTCTCAGAAAGAAGAAAAACAAAAGCCGTGAATGTTCGCACCTCAGAATACCACAAATCGGTTCGGAGAATTGTGGACATGGGGGTAAATTTTCGGCAAAATGCAAAATTGCACAGCCCACTCAATGATACCCCGCACTTAGGTGGCAGATGAATGATTACCACTAACTGCCGGATTCGCCCGACCGGTGAGAGCAAACATGGCAGAAATGACAATTACAGCCTCCGTTATCTTGTCAGTAACATTCCTCCAGCCAAAAACGATGTCACAAACATTCGTAGCCGCATGCAGCCCGCATGTTTCACACGGATAACCGTAGTTAGGCAATAGCACATTCAGAGAGGTATTGACAAAACACAAGGGAGACTGAGGTGGCAACTTGTGAGTTATTAACTGTCGTCAGGGTTGAACGAGATAATGTCCGAACACGGGCTTGTTGTCCATTGACAATAGAGTTCATACCATTGAGCTACGGATGGTTTGTCCTGTCGGTTGTAAACAGGAAGGCGCGTACAGCGAGTAGGTCACGGGGTGCGATCGTCCTGTTGTGCCTAGGGACCCAACCTGTAGGTCTCAAGTACAGTTTCGTAATGGCGACTGATATATACAGAAACCGGTTTTTTGTTAAAAGAAATGCAGGAGAAATCGGGGGAAGGAAGTTTGGGTGGGCTATTTTAGGGAAGTTCTTGCAGTGATTAGGGTTTCATTAAAGTCCAGGCTTCGGTTTACCGAATCTATGTACTTCCGTGGATGCTAATCTGTAGAAGGATACGAAATAATGAGGAAAATTAATTAAAGGCTAGGAATGTGCTATCCAGAATCCTTATAAAATCGGTCTAGTGAGGAAACTTGGGACTGTTTGTCCCGTAGAGCGACCTAGGGGAAAAGTTGTCGTTTATTTTGGAAAATGCAACATTGAATTGTAATGGAAGTATTCTTTACAGGCTTCCGAAATTCTGATGCTCCAGAGTTCTGTCCTTAGTCTCTTACACAGAAAAACAAGCACCTTCACGTAATTAAAAACTGAAAAAGGCTCCGTCAAGCGGATCAGTTTGCGTTCGTATGAGACCAACCGATCGGTATTATGTTTTTAAGTAAAAAATCAGCGGCACGCTAGTTTTGCAGATGAACTTAAATAATGTTGTAAAATTTTGCATTGGTCTCAGTCTTGGCAAACAATGATTAGGACTGAAAATGATATTGTTAATTAACAAATGTAGTCTTTGTTTTATCTTATGAATCCGTATATTCCGACAATTATGCCTGAAGTCATATTAAACCACGATATTAAAACCGGTCCTGCTAGAGCCCCCTAGAAATTGCTCATTTTTAGGATGCCGCTGTTAAGCCTGTGCTTCGAAAAAAATTCAACATATGCCAATAAAGGCAAAAAATTTAATATATTTAGATCATTTCCTAAATACACTTTTTGGTTATTCACACTCCTGGATGCAGCATTTGAATGATTTTTAGTAGCGTTAATACATCTTTATGCTCCACTCAATGCCCTATGTCATCTCCCTTTTTGGAATAATGTAGGTCAAATGTAAAAATATCTTTGTCACTGTCTGTAGGTCATAACAGTAGTCAAAATCAATAGTGGTCTGTCACCGACTATTGTATGCACTAATATTTGGATGATTTTATTATCCAGCCGGCAGTAAATCCTCTAGACATAATGTAACAGACTAGGAGAGGTCCACCATCTATCAAAAATACAGACCAACCGCTCTTTTACCGATCGCACAACAAGGTAGAATGAGGCTTTATTTCAAAATATTGCGAAACATATCTCGTAGATTTGGATATAGACATGACGTCGGTTGTTGGAATTTAAGGTTTATTAATCTGACGCATCGGGTTTATGCTGAAACCCACTTTCAGAGACAGATAAGGAGGGGAAGAGGGGACTTAGGGGTTAGATCAACAGACGTACAAGTGCCCTATTAACTCCGGTGCGGAAGAAGACAGCAGTTCCATTTCATAAATTACGTTGGCTAACAGGGTAAGCAGAAATGAGGATTTAAGGAACTGCATGCTATTTTAATTGACGTTTGAAAAAAGCGGGCCTGCGCTTTCGGATGTGACAATGACATCTCACGTCATACGATCTGGGATGAGGCTTTGCCGATGGAGGCTTTCAGTTTGGTGGGGAGGCGGTATGTGAACAGCTGCTGGTCTGCGTAATGCCATTATCATTCGTAGCCAACTACCGCTTCATTGTCCGTGTGGGTGTTCTTACTCGATACTATATCCTGCCTGTCTTGGTTTCTTCGAAATTCGCGGGCTCAGGAACCCCTGTATGGCACGGTACGACTCGGGGAACGTCGCACAATCATTTGCGAATGTCATGCTTGCGTACCGCCTCTCACTATATGCCCGACCACAGAGTCGACCACTGGATCGCATATTTCAATGCCTCTGAAGGTAAGCATGTATCCATTTGTGGCGCATAGTTCTTTCTTCCCAGTACCTTGATAATGTTTGTTCATGCGTGCCCATGATCGTTTACGGGTCTCTGTGACGTAGATGATTTAGCCGGAAGGACAGATAATCTGGTAAACACGTTGCATGAGACAATTGAACTTCAGGTCATGCTGTTTAAAGTCGGTGGGCGACGTACGCCTTCCGGGAATCGCGCTGAACTGGTGGCGGATTCGGGCACATCATCAGTTTATGGTAGCGTTTGCCAGCCCTACAGTTCACGCGTTGTTGGCATCTCAGCTGTCCCATGTTTTCCAGTTCGTTTGACAGGGTAATGGAGCTATTCCCTGCCTATAGACAGATGCAGGAGGAATTGGAATTCGACCGCTTTGTCTTTCATCCCGCCGTACCGTTTTCCTCCTTCTGTAGAAAGTTTGAAAACGGTTGCTTTCAGATGATTACCATTGCATGGACCTATTCGGCCATGTGAGCTTGGCCTGGCAAAAGACCGCAGACCCTAACCCAACACTACACCCCACCCGCCTCACAACACCCGACGCACGAACAGGACATGCACTGCTTACGTCAGTGGGAACCACCCCCCGCCCCAATTTAGCGCAGTCCGGTGTCACGCGTAGACGGGCTGTTGCAGC